AAAGCTCAGCTCATTGAATAAGCTTTAGTTCAAGTGCCCCTGCGGCTATTTCGAAGTGCAGGGATGCTAATACACGTGATGTGGTGGCACTTTAATTAGAGCAGCTCTTGGAGCCACTCTAATTAAAGCCCCTCTCCACACCCCCAGAGCATGTGTAAAAGTGTCCATAGTCTCTACCAGATGAATGTGTTTCTCCACAGGGATTGAAGAGTGGTTTTTTTGTTCTGTCAAATAATTTATTTGATCCTGGCTTTTACACATGAGCTAAATATGACTGGATGCCAAGAGCAGCTTGTTGGAAGATCCTTAGGGCTCAGCTGGAAAGGGGGACACTCAGATATTCAAGCATTAGATCTGACTGGAGATGGAGGAAAGATTTGGAAGGAGATGAGTAAAGAAACCACAACTTCCTACATGCATCCTAATTCAAATCATAGAAAATTAGGGTTGGAAGGGACCTCAGCAGGTCATCTAGTCCAACCCCCTGCTCAAAGCAGGACCAGCCCCAACTAGATCATCCCAGCCAAAGCTTTGTCCAGCTGGGTTTTGAAAACCCCACGGAAGAAACTTTCACCACCTCTCTGGGTAACCTGTTCCAGTGTTTTACTACCCTCCTAGTGAGAAAATTCTTCCTAACATCTAACCCAAACTTCCCTTGCTGCAACTTGACACCATTGCTCCTTGTTCTTCCATTTGCTACCACTGAGAACAAGCCCCATCTTCTTTTGAACCCCCCTTCAGGTAGCTGAAGACTATTAAGTCTCCTCAAATCATGTGGAATAGCAAGTGGCTTTGCAGGACACTAGGCTTGTTCAAGTTGTATATGTTTGTAGAACTAAAAGTGCTTCTGCCAATATTTGTTTTGCTTGCTGGTATCTTTGGAGGAGATGCCAAATCTTTACTTACATTTTCTCAAATTGTGTGGAAAGGCAGCTGATTTGGTACCACATCTGGTTTGTTTACTGCTCTATGATTCCTGTTCATAGAGCAATTTCATACTTTGGATTTCTTTGGGACTTTTTCACACTGTAGGCTAGCCAGGCTCTGCTTTTCATACAAAGGCCACAGTAAAAGTAGATGGAGTATATGTCTGGGATGGCTAAGTGTAATGGTTCAAGCTCCCCTGTTACTTTAAAAGAGAAAATTGCATCTTGACAGAGGCAAGCAGCATAGTAAAAAGGCTATAAGGTCTAGCCCACAGATGGGAGACAACAGAAAGCTAGGCTGCTGATTTTAGATTAGATTATTAGCAATGCCTGGGCCCTGTTAAAAGGGCATTGGGTCAAATTACCAGAAGAGGAAAGAGAAAGCTGCCTAGGACAAGAGGTTCTGTCTGGCCCTGACTTCTGCATGTGGAAGAGTTCCTGTGAACCTAGACTGCTGGAGAAGGGAATACTGGCAAATGCAGGTACCCAGGATGGCTGGAGTGGACCAAAGGGAAGCAGTTTGTGGTTACCTAGAGGACCAGAAGAGTTTACATATGTTTGGTAGCACGGATTTTTTTTATATTGACTGGTAAAAGCCATGAGGCATGGTCATGGCTGTAAGGGAGAAAGAAAGACAGTAGATGTATGATGGAATCTGAGGAATTTTATCCCAGATCCCAAAGTGCATGCTTTACTATGCCAGATCTTGAATGTCTGGTATGGCAGGATGTATGATTTTTTTTGGCATCCAGCACCAAATAGTTCAGATCCCATTGCACAAAATTATCTGCAAGGGGCTTCAGGCACCTAAAGTACTTCTGGATTTGGGCCTCATTCCAGAAATGAGATTGCATGTTTACATGTGTAGGTTAAGAAAGACCGTGCAATCAAAAACTCATTACCCCCCTTCCCTTCCCCAAACAGTAGAAATAGACCTGATATGAATTAGCTGTCTCTTTTGGGGTAGCTGCTGGTGATGGCGTGTGTGTGAGGGAGGGAGAGAGAGAGGGAAAGAGAGCGAGCTGGCATGATCCTGTATGAGCAGTAGTAATGTGGCCTCATCTTTCATGAACAAATATTTAATCTGTTTCTGCACCAGTAAAGTCTTGCTTAAGGTGTGAACAATATCCACCATTCTAATCAAGCTGCTTCCTGGAGCGGCTACCTTTGCCTTTCTAGGGATGCTGGCCTTGGCCTACCTTTGTCCTGCCCATATCAGTTTGAATGGCCCACCAAGAGCTGGACTCTTGCCAGAATAGCAAGGCTTTCTATTGCATCAGGGTGCAGACCCAAGGGAAGGAATATCGAAGCAGAACAAATTTGAACTAAAAATAAACACTTCTCTTTTTTTGATGGACCAGTGAGAGAGACTGCTTCCTTTTCCCCATTAGGTGTGAGACTGGGGGCAGTTTAGACCCTACAACCATTTATATATGTTATGTTTTTCTAGGTTTATTCTGGACTACAATTGTAACTATGTACATGTAGATGTCTGTAGTCTGAATTAAAAATGGCTCCAATCTGAATTAACTAATCCTCATTGAATGAGAATTAAAATTAATGCAGACTAGGGCATTCCGAACTATGCACTTTAAAACATATTAACTATGCAGTTTAAACTGTATATACATCTTAATTAATACAGTATTGCTTTTGGGGAAAATAATTCTTAGGAACTCAGATAAGCAGATAAACATTACAAATATCAGTTGGGGAAGGGAAACTCAATTGGATTTTTGCAAAACAATAGAGCCACAAAGTAACACCATTAAAAAAAAAAAAAATCAAATGTTTCAACACTTCACCCTGCTAGTATCCTTTCAGGTCAAGCACAGTTTCTGGAGCAGCACTTTAGATAACTGTAACAATGTAACAGTGCTTACACAGGTATGTTATCACCTCCTCCTAATTATTTCCAACCTCTGTTAAGGGGCTCTTAAACATAGATGGCATATAGCCAGTGCCCCCTGTTATGATAGTCAACGATTATCTATTAACATTTAATTCAAACAGAAATTTGATTCCAATTGTGTGATGCAAATCAGTTAACATGGTCTAAAAATGCTGAACATGTCTACAAATGGCCCAAGGCTACATTTTAGCCTGCTACTTGAGACAATTATTTTAATTCCTCAAAGTAGGCCTGGTGTACTCCTGGGCCTTTGTGACCCTTTTCTGGGTGAGAACTGCCTGCTTGTGCTCCTGTAATACTTGCCTGTATCTTTGCATCTTCTCCCTGTCTTAATCCAAGAGTGAGCACCCTAGCTTCTTGGTTACATCTGCAAGGAAACACAGTAGTCCCACAGTCCCAGGATCTGAGCTGGGCAAGGTAAAGTGGGTTGTATGTATGTGACACAGACCTGTTGGAAACCAAAGTCATTGTTGGAGCTGAGGTGAAAGGCAAATGGAAAAACTCTTCAGGCAGTAAAAATTCTCTTTGAATTTATTTACCTCTAGTGTAGATTTTCCACTTATTCTCTGTGCTGTTTGATATCCTTTGTCTCTTTACTTGGTGCAAAATATGGAGCACAGAAGGATCTAGGACTAACATGAATGAAGGCCTTATTACACTGTAATTTTGGATGGCTTCTGGAACTCTTTAACACCTGGATTGTCTGCACATGAACACATGAAACTGGTTTTAAGCACTCCTTATTCATCTCAAAATTAATCCACTCCAGAGCAAGTTTCTCTCTGATCAGTGCTACCCAGCTTGTGTTGTACTAAAGTGTACCCACTCTAGGCTACATCATAGTGTAAACGCCCTGCCCCCTCCCTTCTTCCCCCCACTCTCCCTGCACCCCAGATCCCTACTTACTGCCTGCTGCCCCTCCCTGCCCTGCTTGCTTGTGGCTGCTCACGCTGCCTGTGCTGGGGAAGCAGGCAGGGAAGAGTTAACCTGCTTATCTGGCTGCTGCTCTCTGGGCTCCACAGTCAGGGAGCTACAAGTAAGTAGGGGCAGGAGGGACCCTGGGGAGCCGGGGGGAGAGGGGGGCAGGGGAGGGAAAGCCTGGAATGGGAGGGGGGATGGGCAGTCTTACCTTTCTGTCCCCTAGGACTTTGCTGGCCAGAAGTGTAACAACTCCAAACTTGAGCTAGTAGTGATACCCATCAACTTTTATGCAGCTCATAGTGGGTGTGTCTATTTAATGCAACTGAATAAACTGTGGAGCAGATTGCTCTGCAATAAACTACTCCTGGGTGCACCATCTACACATACACCTAGAACAGCAGCAATTTGAGTCAGGGAGGGGTGGTTTAGGCTAGCACTGCTCCTGCCCTACTCTACCACCCCTGCAGCAACCTGAGGGAGCTCCAGACTCTGGCCTCAGCTTCCCAGGTGCCAGCCCCAGGCTGGCAGGGGGCACAAGGGTCATCCCCAGGCTTTGGCTGGCACTGATAGTGTGGTCTGCAGCCTGGGGGGCAGCCCCAGGCTGGCAGAGGGCATGGGGCAAGGGTTGGGCCCAAGCAGCAGATGCCTGCATTGGGTGGTGGAGGAGCTGGCTGGGTCATGAGGTGCCTGCAGCAGCTGAGCCATGTGGCTAGGCCACAGGCAGGAGTGTGGTCCCCTGCTGGCTGGCTGACCGGGAGTAATTTACTCCTGGGTCATCCGCTACACGTGCATTGCTGTGCAGTAACTAACTCTGTATTAGGATAGTACTTGTATTTCCAAGCACTACCGTGCTGCAGACTTTATTAGTTTACTGTGGCCTAATAGCACTGCATGCATAGACCCAATACATTTACTGTGGAGCTAATTAGGCAACTCCACAGTAAACATCTTGTGTACATATGTCCAGTGTAAGGTGTAACAAGGCCCTGACTGGAGAGTTGTGAACAGAATATAGATTGAGAAATTGCATCTCTTCAGGTGAGTAAATGATTCTGTCCTAGAGCTATAGTGCACCCAAATATGTCTGAAGAACAGCACCAAAGACTCCTAGTCCAGAGATCCTGGGCAGGTTTTTTCCTGGTCTCAAACTTCTCCAGATACTGATATTTAGTCTGTTCTAACTTCAGATTTGTTGAAAAATTGCAGTTGCCTCGAGGCCTGATCTCTTTGTGATGTTACAGGATTGTGGGAAGTCCCCAGGGCAGTCATGGATGTGTACTTGATGATACGCCGCCATAGAATGACTATCTTTGTCAATGCCAAAGAGAACACTACTGTTTATGAGCTGAAGAAAGTTGTGGAGGGGATACTAAAGAGGGCTCCAGAGGAACAGCAGCTATACAAGGATGACCAGCTGCTGACTGATGGCACCAAGACTTTGATAGACTGTGGCTTAAGTAGCCAGAACTGCCGTCCCTACGCACCAGCTACAGTGGGCTTGGCTCTATTCAGACCTGGAAATGGCTCCTTTGAGCCACTGCATATTGACGCCTTTTCCACCACCCCAGAGTTGCCTGATGTTATGAAGCCACAGGATTCTGGTGGCAGCACCACAGAACAGGCCATGCACTGAGACCAGCGTTTGCTACTGCGCCTCCAGCCCATCTCACACATGGACATAGGGGCCAAGTGCCAGTCTCCTTGTCAATCATGTTGCACTCATGTTCACAGAATTTAAAACTGAGTTGAATAATAAAGCTTAGTAGTCTAAATTTCACTGATCCAAACATGTCACAATATCTACAGAGCAAAATGATGATTCTACTTGACTCTTCTGGGACAGCAGATAGAAGTAACAACAGTGGCATCTCTAGGATGAACTAATTTCTAATGTAGTGATTCTCAGACAGAATCCTGTGGCACTGTGGGGTGCTTTGAGATCCTTTCCAAGGTGTAATGCAATGTTAGCCCCATCAGGTGTGCAAATATGATTCACAGGATGAATCCAGAGATTCCAAATAGTGATCTAAAACATTTTGACTGAGTGTGGTCTTTCTGAGGCCTTTGCAGCAGAAGAAAATCTCTCTCTCTTTCATAGTCGAAAATGAGTAAAAACTATGAGCTGGTCCCTCGAGTCTAAAAAGTTTGAGATTCACATTCATGTTCTAATGCATTGTGCCAAAAGACTTCTTTTCCAGACTATTTCATATGACCTATCCAGACCAGATAAAGACTAAATTGCAAAAGTTACTTTTACTAGGAAACCAGTGTCATCAGCTGTTGTGACTTAATATTAACTGGACTTAAGGTTGATCATTTTTTTTCTGAACCCCCTCTCCTAGTATCATTTCCCTAAAGGAGACACTTGGCTTGCAAATTTCCTTAAAATGGTTCTAGATGTTATGTTTACATTGGAAAATGTTAACTCTAAGTGCTCCGATCAGTTGGCAAATAAAGAACTCAATCTTAAGGATCTTAATTAGATCTTGATTAAGCCAATCTTTAACACACTAGAGCCTGACTCCAAGTTTTTTCCATAGTTGGGACTGGCTGTACTCTCCAAAGACACAGTGGCAACAAATATGATATGCACATTAGCAACAAATAAGGACAAACTGGTGTTTAGAGTGAGCACAGGTAAGCAGGAGCTAGTCCAGGTTGGAGGGAGAAACTATTAAAGAAGGATCAGCCAACATGTTAATTAATGAGGGATATTTGCCTCTCTTCATCCTTTTTTTTCCCTCCCAAATTATTTAAGCCAAAGGACAGTGCTTACACAAAACTAAACGGGAATAGACTGGCCATGAATGAGCTTAGGCTGGATGGTAGAAGAAAGTTTTGGTCAATTAGAGGAACTGTGCTTCTGTAACATTTTACAATAGCTTTTTAAATTATTTTTTGGTCCCTATGGTTCCAAACTTGTCTTAAGATGGAGTTTGAATAAGCATGATATGATGCCTGCAATATAGGGGCCTGGACTTACTGAACTAAGGATTACAGCTGTGTGAAATTTCGCCAGTTGTTTCATTTCATTTCAGGATTTAAACAGCGAGATCTAAATGAAACATAGGGCTTCAAAACAGCCTGAAAACAAAATGAGGGCAGTCGAAACATTTCAGAAGTTTTGAAACATTTTTAGATTCGAAGGAGCCGGGCTGAGTTCCCTTCTCCAGCCTGATCCCAGAACTGGGGAGGGGTCTTGGCTCAGCTGGGCTGAGTTCTCTTCCCCAGCCCAATTGATCGCAGTGCTGTGGACGGGATCTGAGTGATCAGACTCAGTTTCCTTCCCCAGCTTGATTGAGCTGGGGAAGGGAACTGAGCCCGATCCTACAGCCTCTACAGCCCTCCCGGGGCTGTGGCCTCCGATCTGCCTGCTGGATGAGAGAGACCTATGGGCAAAATGTCAAAACAGCGTTAAAACAGTGTCACTTTTAATGAAACAAAAAGGAACAGCAGTTTCGAGTCTAAACAAAATTTGAAACAAAATGCTGTTCCATCGAAACACAAATCGAAATGGAAGCCATTTCACAAGCCCTACTAAGGATCCCTTCCACAGCTGTGCTTCTAAAAATTCAACTACATCCAGTTCCCAAAGAAACTGTTACAAAATGTTTTGATAAATGTAGCACTCTCATCTAAACAGATGCTTGGTGTTAGGCAGAGAATTATCCAAACATTCAGTTCAAGTGATGTAGCTACCAGTGTGCTACCAAAATGGCCCATCTCGCTGGACAACAAGGGCCTCATATGATGGAAGAGGGCAGTAATTGCATCTTCCTCCATCAGGGGTGGGCAATTATTTCGGGCAGAGGGCTGCTTACCCAGTTATGGCAAACTGTCCAGGACTGGTGAGTAGCCCCGCCCCTTGACAGGTGCCCCGCCCCCTGGTCACCATCTTGGGACCAATATCCCAATGTCTTGGAACCAGTGTCCCAGGGCCAGCACCAATGGGGCCCAGAGTGGGACGCAGGCTAGCAGGGGCCTGTGGGGCTGGGCTGGGCTGGGCTGCACCAGCAAGGAGAGTGGGGAGCTGTCCTGGCTCCATAGAGCCCCTGCTGGCCAGGACCCTGTACCCCTGCTGCCCTGCTCTGGGCCTTGCTGGTGCTGGCCCTGGGACACCGGTGCGGGCCCTGTACTCCCGCACCCACTTACTCCTAGTGCCCCCCAGCCCCATGGTACAGGCAGGGGGCAGCACACAGCCCCAACCCCCTGCTCACCAGCAGGAAAGGAGCTAGTGTGGAGTGCGGTGAAAAGCAGCCCTGTCCCCACCCTGTGGCCAGTGCTTCCTGCTGCAGCTGCTCGCAGCTGGCACGGGGCTGTCCTGAGCAGGCACAGGCAGACCCACACTGGGCATGGAGCGGGAGAGAGGCCTCTTTTCCCTGCACTCCATAGCTTGTAACCCACCCCCGCTACCAGCTTGGGCCCTGCACTGGCTCTGGGCTTGCCCATCAGGGCTGCTCCACAATGGCAGCAGCTGCAGCCCCCCGGCTTGCCACACTGGGCAGCGTTTGCTGCTGCTGCCTGCCCACAGTTTGCGTGCTGGGCCACACAGGGGCAGCTGTACTGCAGCCTACCACGGCACAAGCTCTGGGAAGGCAGCAGCAGCAGCAAACACTGCCCAGTGCAGCAAGCAGGGGGGCTGCAGCTGCTGCCACCATTGGCACAGCTCTGATGGGTGAGCCCAGAGCCAGCGTGGGGCCGCGTTACAAGCTGGTGCTGAGTGCAGGTAAAAGCCAGATAAAATGGCCTCATGGGCCGGATCCAGCCAGTGGGCCATATTTTGCCCACCCCTGTCATACATGGTTCTGGTGGGGACATGTTCAGATGCTTTAGGTAGTTAATAACTTGGTGACCAGTGGAGAAGAGCTACATAACTTGTAAGTGGATTGGAGGAAATAACTTGCACAGGGAGTTTCATATCATGGGGAGATGATGTACAAGGTAGGAAATGTATGATATGACTGAAAATTAATGAGAAAGGATGAGTCTCAGTCATTCAGGGGTTCAAGGTATTAGAACATGTGGATGCAAATTTCAGTCAAAATTTCACTCTTCAGTCAAATTTCAGCTCTGGTGTGCATGCACACAGTAAAGAGGGTTCACTGTGTGTGCACCATAGCCAAATGGGATGTGGCTGCACCCCCTCACCACAATCATGGATGCCAGCAAGCTCAGAGAACTCGGAGCTCCCCTGGTACTCCACATGGGATCTCACCAGAGTCCTCGCTTTCACATGGCTCCAAAAGGTGAGTTCTACTATTGTTTGCCCTTCCGTTCCTCCCACCTGCCCCTCTTCACCCTCCCCCAAATCAGTAGCAGGGGAAAGTGGGGATAAGTAAATGAATACTTGCTCACTCATCTGCCTCTACTTCTGAAGTCATTTTTTTCTTCAGTTGTCTTGTGTTTGTTAAACTGATCAGACTAAAATTATAGGACATTTTACAATCCTTAATCACACCAAGCATTGATATTATCTGAATTTATTTTACTCATACTTTTAGAAGAGAGGGAACAGGTACTGAGATGGTACTCAGATCTGGTCCTGCATGTGGAATTCTTCTGTAAGTAGGAGACTTGTACCAGTTACAAGTTCTCTGTTAAAAGTACACCATCAAAATAGCATTACATAGGTCTGATCCCTTATGATATAATTTTTTTGATGCATTAACAGATAAATGAGCCATTGCTGCTTAGAACATCTCCTTGGGTTTAGGAAACAATTTGCTCCATATCTAGTCATGCCCAAAATTGTAAAGCAGATGTTGCAAATAAAAGACATACACTTGAGTAAGGGAAGGGACTTGTTACTAAACCATCCAGCTCTCAGCATCACAGTGTTTATGAGGGTTAACCTTTTCAATCAGCTCGTAACTGCAGGTTTCAGAATAAAAAAGGCTGTTGCAATGCTGTTTGTCATAAACAGCAGGGGTGATGGCCCTGCCATTGGAAAAGAAAAGAGAGTGGGGTGAGAGTAGGATACCAGTCTGATGAAGCTAAATTGACCAAGCACTGGAAGAGTCTGTTGCAGCAGCTCAAGAATCCCAGCAGGAAAACAGTCCTGCCCCTTCAAAACCACTAGCTAGTCTTAAGATTTACATACTTTCCTCTCATGGGAGCCTAACTCTTCTCCTTTGATCCTGCCACAGGGGTACAATCAACTGCAGAACTTCATTTTCCTCCTCTTCAGTTATTTTTCCCTTCATTTTCCATTTTAAACCCTCCCTCCTACGTCTGACATGCTCCTCCTCTTTGTTCTGCTCTAATCTCATTTGTAGCTCTCCTCCACATTTCTGGTTAGTATCAGCTGCCATGCGTAGATAAAACAAGAGGCATGTGTGCACACCAATTTAAAGTGGGCTAAATGCTTTTGCACGGCTTCAATGAT